TAAAAACAAAAACCAAACCAACAAATTAAAGCAAACAGCCCCATTCCCCCTTAAACACCACAAAACCAAACAGAAGAGAAGCCAAACATTTTCCATGTCACCATTGGTTAAAACAAATGGCAACAGAAGTAGAGATGCAGTTATAAGATGCTGTAGTGGCAGGAGCCACTCTGCTACTGAAGAAATGAAGAGTCATGAGCTACAAACCTCTGCTCTGTATCTGCACCTTGCAGCTGTTAGAAAAAATGAGTGATAGATTCCAGAACCTTCTTTTGAGTTTTGAATTTGGTGTCAGTCCAGAGGCATTAAGCATTGCCTTCCAAGAAGCAAGGCCTGTATTTTTTTTTTCTGGTGAGAGGAATACTACTGATAAGTTTGCCCCTGGGATTCTGTGAGGATCTGCCTCCTTGAACAGCCAAATTCTTGCACATTGTACAGTGATCAAAACTTAGTGGGAGCAATAAACCCAAGTGTCCTGACAGCTGATAAGTAGCAATTGTAGGGAGGAGCTTCTGAGCAAGTCCACTCTGTCTGGGATGCAGGTAAGAACTCAAAAGCAGCACTTCAATAACTTAATGTAGCCAGTTATTCTTACCTGTCCCCTGACACTTTTTTTTCAAGTGAAGTCATGGGATATCCCTATAAATATCCCCACCTTGCCTCCCCACGTCAGGCTGGCAAGGTAATGATGCAGAGTATGGGTAATATCACAGTTCAGCTCTGTCTCCACATCAGAGATGAAAGATCCAGTCTTATGGGCAAACCAAATCAGCCAAAACGTGACTACTCAGAGGAATTTCCAACCAACAAATAGATCAGAGATCTCTCTCTATCCTAAAGCGTTCTTGGGCAAAAGACAAAATATATTTCAAAATGCGGGGCTAAATTTATATATGCAGTGCAATTCTGCAGATCTAATAGACTATTGGACCATGATATACACTTTTGTGTTGGTCTTTCCACAGGCAGAATTCTAACAAAAACATTTAAATACTTTAAATAGTGACATCACTAAAACTTAAAAACTGTGAGTGGTTCTATATATTAAATATACAGATACGTGTGGATAATTTTATAACCATATTTACCTCTCTTCATAATTGCAATGGTTTGACATCAATGAAACTCCAAAACCGTGTGTGGTTTTATATAGTAAATATATAGATACATATGGATGATTTTATAACCATAATTACATGTCTTTATAAGTGCATTGGTTTGTGTACACACATAAAAAATGTGATGGTTAATAGTCATTCTCCCAAAATATCAAAGGCAAAACAAAATACATCTTTTTTCACATTTGTGTGATCCATTGGGGCAGTTCCTACACTCTTTCCTTAGGGCTGGAGCTCTAGACATAGCACCCAAGCACCAGGAGAGTAGCAGGTGCTGCAGATTCACTGCAATCAGAGCCTTGTTCCCTTTTAAGAAAATTCAGTGGGTGTTCCAATTTGAGAGATGTTATACCTATATTCACAAACAATGCTGCCTCAATCACTTTCAATCTCAAGTGTGCATGACTAACTGGTAATTTCCTGCATTTGTGACATTCCATGATCTTGCTTGATGCTGCCAAAGTTTGCGACTACACAGAAAAGCAGTGGCAGGTTGAGAGTGAATGACCCCCCGTAAGTTATTTTGAAATTGCCAGACTTTGCTCTGCAAGTTTAGTCTCTCATAGCAACGTGGGCAGCGTATCATTCTGTGCTGGCTTCATTAAAAGAAAACGATTCCGTCTTTCAGTTAAAAAAAAAAAAGAAAAGCTCTAACTGTTGAAGCAGCATACACCTAATAAGCTACTTCTAATTCTGGCTCCATCATTTCAGTCTGTGGACTAGCAGAACAGAGCTTGCAGAATCCTTCTCAAGTAAGTATTTCTTTCTCTTTACTGCATGTTTTTATTTTTTTTAATTTAAAATTCATAACAGGTAGTAAAGAAGTCTTCAGCGTTGAATTAATGGTGCTGCAATATGACAACTGGATGCCTGCTTTAAGCGTGAATTAACATGCTCTGTTGTTTTATTTGGCAGACATTACTGTCTTTAAAAGGACATAGTTAATACATTAAGGTACAAGGCAGCAAATTATATGGATGGAGCTTCCTAAAGCTGCAGTGCTGGAAAGCTAATGAAATGATTTATAATTGACTGCAATGATAGGGTTTTTTAAAATGAGTTATGTATCTTTTGTTTGCATAATCCACATCATGGAACATGTCTATTTGATCTCATCAAAAATGTATTCTGAATATGCTACTGGCCATTAAGTATGAAATTATAAAAATAATTTATATCTTCAAGAAAGGAAAAATTCAGGCAGTGGCATTAATATTAATAAAGCTAATATATACACATTACACCTAGCTCAGGTATGTATTAAATGATGAAGGAAAATATATGTAGTGCATGACTTTATCTAATTATACAAAGTATTAGTCAAACATTGATAAACCCAACAGAGTATAGATGAAATAATTGTTTGTATGAGAAATAACAGAAATGCATAACATTTGCCAAAAAACCAGCACATGCTGTAGCATACTTTCTGCAAGAGTATTTAAACAGCTCTGATGGACATGTCTCTTTAATATAATGAATGAGGTGGGACTATGGCCGTGGAAGGAAAAGAAATAACACTATTTTGCTTCGTGTTTAAATTGCAACTGTTGTAATAGAAAGGAGTAAGGAACAAGCAGTGCACAAGGCTACTTTTACATTTGGTATGCAAACACACACATATCTAAATACAAACTGACCTTTTTTTTTTCTTATTTAGTCATACCTGCATATCACCAATTCCTGTGACATGCAACTCTGATTGCAAACATGCAGGTTTGCAGCCCTCAGCAGAAATATGTTATAGCTGCATCTGAGGCATTACAGCACCAGAACAATTATTCTGGAAACATTTAGCACAAGCATGTCTTATACTTCTAAGCAATATTATTTGTCATAGCTTTTTATGTAGGGAAAATTACGCTGCAAAAAATTCATAGTGTTTAGTTAACTTCTGCAGAAAACTACATAAATTCTTCCCTCCTGCTCAACTTATCCATCCCCCAACAACCCGTGGTAATGGCAGTCAAGAAATTGCCATTTATTTCTCTCAATATATTTTCAAATTACTCAGAACACCAAATTTTAAAACGTACTTCTAGCCCTTCCCACTCATTGATATACAGGCAAGCTTTTTTTTAAACAAACTTTTTCGGGACATGTTGAAGCAAGGAACTGGAACAACCATTTTCATATTTACTGTGTAATAGGTATAGAAGGTTTTTGCATATATGTGCAATAGACATAGAAGATTATATATATGCAGAGATAAAGAATGGAAACAGAGATAACAAAATTACTGTGTTCCAGGTATGGTGAACAATAATATATCCTTCCTTTTACAAGCAGCATTAAGCTTCCCAAGGGCCAGCTCTGAAGAGCTTAATAAATTAGAAGCCAATCATGGAGAGGTTTAGTCTGACGTTTCATAGCCCTTCCCAAAATCTCAGGAAAACACAGCATAGTAATAACAAGACCAGTAAATAGTGATATTTATGGTACCATCCCCACAAGACTAAAGGAGACATCAGTGAGCAGAAATGGCACTAACAAGCTTAGACCATTTCCACAACTATTACACCTTATCAACTAGAGGAAGCAATCCTTGATAACTATTTCTGAGACAGACTAGGAGGGTGAGGAAGAGGTAGAGAACTGCATTTGGGAAGCCTTCAAAGGGAAATGGTGACTTATGATTGTGGGGATTGCCCAGGTAAAAAGTCTTATTCCTTCCTTACACTTTGTGATTTCCTAATCCTGCAAAAGAATGATCCTAATGAAATCCCACAAACCTAGTACAGTATGAAGTCAAAGCCCCTGTGTGAGGGGCAGGCAGGGTTTGACTCACTACAAAGAACTGTGAATTTTTTGTATTATGCTCTGGAACTTGGTCCAACACATAATTCACTAATTAGGATAACCTCATTGGACAGGGAAAAAAAAATAAAAGAGGAGAGAGAATATCATAGCAACATCTTATTCCTTTGTGGTTTATGCATTTAACAAAGACTTACTTTCCAGTCTTAAACTCCCCTCTCTGTTTTACATTTAATTAGCAGAATTGCATATTCCTGCAGATATAAAAGAAAGATGACAAGAAAAACACTGCTGTACTGAAAGATCTCTTCAGTATTACTTGAAGTATCTATGGGAAGGACTTTGGGTAGCCTTAGTTCACCACTAATGTGGTATCACATCAGAAAGGGACATTCTGTGGCTTCAGAGATAGTGAGGCCTTGCAGATTGTGGCATCCATCATAAATTTAGGAATGGTTTAAAGTAAAATAAACTGGTATATAAAATACAATTATTTTTAAAATATAACGTAATTAATGAGTGGGAAATATTTTCATTCCCCTGAAGAAAAAGGCAGTGTATTTTTATCCTAAGCTTGATTTTGCATGAGAAACTAATTCCATTCCTCCTCTCATTCTTCCTCTCTACTGTCTTAAAATTTTTAACGCTTTTTCCCCCTCTTCTTAATGATGGTTATGATGATAATAATAATGATGATAATAATTATTATTGTTATTGTTATTATTATTATTAAAAAAGAAGAGAAAATGAGAGAGGAAAATGAGGAAAATGGTATACCTAATTTTGAAAGCCACATGACACTGCCAGTCTACCTCAAAGAAGGACATGTTTAAAGACTAGATTCAAAGGATTTGACACTTTCCTAAAAATACACATTTTCAAGGAGCAGTGGAAGAAACTAAGACTCCTCATCTGTGTATTCTTAGAAGGATCAATTATTTTACGTCTTTTCACCAAGCAACTACAAAGTGAACTGGAGGCACAGAATCAAATGCCAGTGTAATGCAGATGACCTACAGCTCTGCCCATCCTACAGCACGGCTACAAAAACGGTACAGCGTGTGAAGAAGAGCTCATGGAGCAGCTGGCTCAAGCAGAAACTGAGCAAGAAAAAGATGATGTTGGCAGAGGATAGAGAGCATTTTGAGGACTCACTCACAGTCAAGGTACGCAGCCGCGGGTGGTCACTTAAACTCAAATCTGATAAAAAACTGTATTCTGGTATAACTGCATTCACAAATGCTATTAACTTCTATTAGCTAGGAAGCTCTGTCTCTCTTGGATGGGGACAAAATTTTCTCAGGCAGGTGATATCACAAGCTTTTTAGTGCTAAGCAGTTCCAACATGAAGGAAAAACTATAGAGTTTATGCTCTGAAGCTTGGCCTAACTAGACCACTAATCCATTCCTTACACCGTAGTTCAGCCTCCAATCATTTTGTATTCCTCTCTTCCAAGCAGTTCATTGTCTGGACTGTGGATAAATAAAAGATCACTTAAACTACTTGGAAAAAAATACAATCTGCAGTTTCATTTTTCTGGCTTTTCTCATCAAGAGTAAAATTTCTCTTCATGGGAGAGAAAAAGCCTCCTGGTAATTAAGGACAGCCAAATGTCATTAGCTGTTGCCACAAGTGCCTTGTATATATCTTTGAAAAACTTTAAAGTTATGCACAGTAATGTGTGTCTCCAGTGCCATGTTATACTGCTAGGGAGCAGACAACACAACAGACAACATCTCACAACTGGTTTAATTTGGCTTCTTGTGCAGCAATGGAAGGTGCTCTGACAGGATGATATTGAGGGCAGTAAGGGCCTGTGTCCAATGGAATGTTGTTCTGGAACTGAAAAAAAAAATGGTATATTAAAACATTTTGTGCTTGCATTTTTCTCTTTAATTTTTCATTTATTTTTAAAACTATAAATATAGCTTGCATTTTAATTGGGTGTCTGTCTCTAATTTTACTGCAGCTGTAGCATTTGCCAGAGAACAGTGGCTCTGTTTTCAGGGTGGTGCAGGATTTATACCAAAAAAACATCTCTTCTCTAATGCTCAGCACTTCTGACTGGCCTATCACAGCTCTGTCTAGTACACAGCTATAAATTAAATGAATTATGGATGTTGACAAGAAAGATGACACAGCAATTTGATGCCTTTAGTTTAGTCATCCTGTAGTTGTAAAACACATAAATGTTTTACTCATCATGGTGGAGAGGTTGTTTAATGAGAATTTAGAGCAATTTAGATCCATTATATCTTTCGGTTTAGATTCAAGGCTGAATGCAGACACTGTCCACCATGCAGATTCCTGCACAGAAATATAAGTCTCAGTTCTTTAAGGCACCACAGTAGCTTTCCACCTCCTTTTCATGCCAACAAAACTCACCATTTCTTATGTCCAGACTGATTTAATGGCGGCAGTACTGATCCAATTTTCTGTTTGTCGTAACACATTACAAATCTACCAACTGATAAAGGAAAAACCCATTTTAACTTGTTCCCATTAGCAGTCATGCATTAAAATAAAATAACTGAATTTTCATTCTACTGGTCCTGCAGACAGCTAGATCTTACAGACTTAGAGCAAATGTCTGCTTAAATTCTCCTTAGGGCTGAAACTCTTTCAAGCAGAATCTAGTGAGATAAAACCAATACATACAACACTGACTACATCTCCACTCAATTAGAAATTTTTTGTTCCACAGTGAAACAGAAATAGTGAACGTAATATTTAGTGAAATTGAATTTTTGCTGTGTGAGACCAAGCATCCTAGACATAGATATTATTCCCATTAATTTGAAAATGTGGCAAAATTTCTGGAGAGCAACTAAATAAAATAATGCTGAGAAGAATTTAAAGGAACTCTGTCTTGCTGATGAAATTGATGTAGGCAACCTTATATTAAAAGCAAATTTGTATTTGGCAACCATTACAGATAAAAAGAGAAAAGGAAACCGTCTGTTGGAAGGAAACCCAGAGAGGAACATCTGCATTATTTAAAGGGATAAACTGAAGTGCAAAACTGAAAGGTCCATAAAACACTTCAAAATTAACTGCATTAAGTGTGAAGATAAGATGAATAAGATGTGATAAAATTTTCATTAAAGGCAGTAGTGAAGAGTACATCTGAGCAAGAATGGCTCTGAGAGAGTTGGGATGTAGCTGTTTTAAGAGTGGAGTATCTGCTGAGGGATGTACACATCTTTAGAGAAAACTGAGAACTTTGAACTGAATGCCATTCCTACAAATTCTGAGTTGTGAGAACAAACACTACAAATAGTGAGTTTGGCCCTGGTGCTTAGGCAATATTTCTGAATAGTCGAAAGACTGCATGAGAACTAGGAACACAAACACAGGAAACACACACCGTTATAATGGAAAATTCATCCTTTGCTTCAACAAGGACAGCACAGACAACAGTGTTATTATTCATCCAAAAACTTGGAGTCTACTCACTGACTCTAAAAGGCTCTGGAACCAGTCTTATTTGAAAATAAAATAAACCTTAAAAATCAGATTTACTTTTTTAAAATAATAATAATAACTTAAAAGTTCCTTATGAATCTCAAAATGTAAAAATCCTTTATACATATTTGGGTGTTTTAATGTAGATAATCTGCTGAAGATATTCTTGTTCATGGATCAAAAAGCATACTTTTAGATACAGAAAAACTTAGTACTAAAACTGTTGAATATTGTCTGATTTGACCCAAAAATGATCATATCTTCCAGAGCTCTACACAAAAAAACTTCTAGTTGTCATAACAACGTCCTGCAGCAGATACAAGATGTTAACTTTTGCTAATTGTATTTTAATACAATTAGTAAAAGTTAACATCTCCTGAAGATTAAAAAACGGAGATATTCTTTTAAAGGGAGCATGAAATTAATTTTTTTTTATTCCCACAAAATTCAGTTTTTAGTTTAAAATCTTCAGTCAATGTAGAAATACTCCATTGTATCAAGCCATATTTACAGGTAACTGTTATGCTCCATGTTGTGGAACACATATTGAGAAAGTAAGAAAATTACAGCCTGAAAAATATTCCAGGCTGAAGCTTTTCAGCTCTGTTCCCAGCCAATAAGCTGGTCCAGCTCAAGGCTAGGGAGAATTTCTCCAACGGAGATAATTTAGTCAAAATAAAAAGGAATTAATAACAAAGATAAAACACCTGTTGTGGTGTGTGACCAGGCCTGGGAATGGGGTGTCTTCTCTCTGAACCAATCACCTTTTCTCTACTCTTGGAATTGCGAGTCATGCTGTAAAACCAAGTGTGTTTCTGAATAAACTTGTCTCTTTCTTCCTGTCATGAAAGACGCCCATGTAGCTGTGCATCTTATTTCTGCCGCCCTTAAAGGGTTAAAACCCCTTTCCACGGCTACACCATGTTTATACAAAATATGTAGGTTTCTAATAATGTCTTTGTAAAATGACACTCAGAATATAAAGAAGCCTAAATTTAGAAAAATCCTGATGTTTTTTTCTTAAGTAACAGGTTTACTAGATAAATTCCTGAATGCTTCAATTTTTTCAAATGCAATACTAAGTCACTATGGAAGTCCCATTTAAGCTATGATCTTAAGCATCATTCCTTTATAAATGTTCCAGATTCAACAGTCAGTTTACCAGGAAAGGATCAGTGCTGCTGTGGTTATGTTGTTATATTAACAGTAAAACAGAACACCTTAGCCATTGCAAAATGCAAAATTACAAACTGTGTCCACTGGAGTCCCTAGAAATGTTTCCCTTATGAGCAAGTCTCGATGGTATCTGGAGATGTCCCCTTGATCAGGGTCGCATTATGCAAGACTGGGTATCACAGAAGTACATGGAAAAATACAGTCCTTTGCTAATTTAAACACTACGGTCCCTTCCTAATTTAAAGGCCAGTTAATGGCAGCTGCAGACCAAAGTGCAGGTGTTGAGCAGAGATCAACGAACTAGATAATGGCATAGCTGATGATAAAGGACAATCTTATTTACAGTGAGGTCTGTCACCCAGGTCAGACAGTTTTCACTTGATTTGCACAGACATTGCAACAATGGTGCCCATCATTTCTAAAGTAGAGCAAAATTAATGCATAGCCTTTTCTCTTAAGTTGATTTTAATGTTAATATGACTGGTTCAGAAGAACTTAGTAATCTGGCAAGCATCCACCTAGCTGAGGCATATTGTAGTAACACAGAACAGAAGAATTTGAGCTCTCTGAAAGTATTTATTTCAAGAGTACAGCCGAGAATACTGCAGCAAAGTATTGCCATTCACAGACACACCTGCTTGCATTGGAACAGGAAATTCCCTATATGTCTTCAAAGCAATTTAAATATATGAGGTAAAATAACTTGAACACTTCAAAAAATAAGTCACTTAGCATATGGAAAATAAATCATTAACATCAATTTCTAAAAAGTTCAAGATATCAAACATTCTGATTTTTAAGCATATTTTGTTTTAATATCCAGCTTCTCTATTTGTACACATAATGGAAACAATTTCTGCAACTCAGCTAGTCTCTAGAGAATATTTTGGTGAATTTATTTAAGAGAGAACACTGAATAGTTAGTGTTACTACAAACTTTGATAGCATCTGTTCTGACCAAGATTCAGAGTGATTGATGTGAAAAGATATCTATCATCTAAGTAACAAGAATTATTTTTCATTTTGCAGCTGTGGATAATTTTTTTCTTAATAATCAGATATGTCTGTGTTGTATGTCTAGAGTTATTAAGCAGAAATCACCTGTAGAAAGAGAAGCAGCAGTATGAGTAGTATGACACCCACATGTTATGTACCTTACTTAAATTACCTATAACCATTTATCTTTATCTATACCTCTACATATATTTTAATACTATGCAAATAACATCTGTCTGAACAAAAGAGCTCTTTCCTGACAATAAAAGAGAATTATATGATCCATTTTTATTGGCTGTACCACAGACTTTTTAAATTCATACCTTAAATTTTGCACATAGGCAATGGATAGCTGAATTTATGCTTGTAGTTAACATAGCTTTATTCATGTACAAAGGAGCCCAATCTCTCTTGAATGAAAAAGCTCTTGTCCAAATAGGTACAAGTCATTACAGGGCCTGGCTCAATGGTGAGTCTTGCACTCTTTCTGAAACAGGCATTATTAATAAAGTCCATTAAAACTGCAGA